ACAATTTCTCAAACGCAGTGCACCAAAAGTACAACCATTTCAGATGACAAGGGAAATATGACTACTGTTTCTCCACCAGGTTGCATGATTTCCATCGGTCACGAGTTAGATCCATTCGAAATCACTAGGTATGCAGTTCATTTCAATTCCGTTTGTACAACCATTAACTCTGAAATTTGGTGTGTCCGCTTTGAGTGATGTGCTATGACCAAAAACAACTGTTTGCAGACGACGCCAAGATTTGGAATGTAGTAACAGAACCCGAAGGAGTCGTTACCATTTCCAGAAACACTTAACGCAGCTTATCAATGGTCTGCGGAGAACGATACAGGAGTCAGTGTCCAAAGGCATAGTCCTATCCTTACGCCACAGGAGTAGATTCCCTTATTCTTTCGAAAATCCCCAGTTGCCACATACCTCAAATGAGAAGAATTAAGATATAATTGTTCGAGAGGACTGAAACTGCTCGATCAGTTGCGCCAGCGCTTCGTCCGATGTTGTGAAGAAAGCTGACTTCATAGGCGAGTCTTTGGTCAAGTTGAATTAGTGTTGTTCCCATGTTTGTTGCCATTGTACATTCGACACATAGAGTGCACCATGCAAGCCTGGTATCCATAGTTGCGCCGTGATCGTGAAATGATGGAGTGTTTATAAAGGATTGCCACCAAGATGGTCAAGGTAGTGAAATACCTCACATATAAGGAGGGATTACGATCAATGGGACTATACTTTGCTTAGTACCACTGAGTTCGAGGAGACTTCATTTTTGTGTATCAAATACTGCAGAACCCAAATCATCTACCTTAGGGGAAATCGTTGTAAGTTACTGATTCCAAAGTGTCGACTGGAACGCTGGCGCCAATCTTTGGCAATCACTGTGCATTACTTCGTTTGTGCGCCAAATGTTGAATGTCTCAAGAGGAGACTTGATAAAATCCTAGCACATCTCAAATTTCTATGCAACAAAAAAGCAAATTGGTTGAAGACTACTACCTTTTAGTAGGAATGATATGCGGCACTTTATCACTAACGAAAGCGACGTCATTATCATCAATCTTGTTTATTTTGTCACAAACATCTCCATGGATTTTGCATACTTCTCAAAAGAAAATGTACCTAACTAGCATTCAGCACCGCGTCTTGCTAGACGATGTCGTGCGGAACCAGTGAAAAAAGAGCTGGCAGAGATCGAAGCGAAAATACCACTTGAATGGAACCTTGCAACTTTATGATCGAATTCGGCTTTGGGAGAAAGTTCAGTACGACGAGGTGGGAACGACAGAGATAAAATGAACACTGTTCGCAATTTATGTTTGCACGCGCACCGGATACTGATGAACATGAATAATCACGTCACCTCATCCGATTTCTAGTAACACCGGAGAAGAAAACATGATTCGCCTGAGCCACATGCTGTGAGGAAATGACAGGTCGGATTACCGATCAAAAGGTTGCCTTCCTTTGTAACCGCTTAGAACATTTAAAAGTGCCATGGATCTCACATTGTGAGACTTGCCCCAAAATCGAAACCAGTCAGGAACTGGGGGGCCGGAAAACCGATAAAACAGCTATTCTTTCATGCCCATTCTGCAAGTGCACAATGAAAACTGACAGCAAACAGATGTTTCGTTACAAGTTTCACCGAGATACAAACGGGAAGGGGGAAGAAGTCCAAATGTGATCAGAAGCCAGGGTGTTCGGAGTTATGGACAATCTGATCTGCAAAACCTAATCATTAGAGAATCAGCAAAATGTTGGTGAATGAAGTGCCACATGGATACTACCAATCAGAGCGATGATTACTTTACACGACTCGATTGCGAACATATCACAAGCTCACCAACAGTTTTAAGTTCACAACCAACGCACATGCAACAGACAACACCGAGGGGAATTTTAGCAGTACGCTTACGCAACAGTTTGAGAGACCATTTTATCAGCGCCAGGTTTGAAATACCCACCCCAACCGATCTACCACAAGGGACACAGGGAGCAGAAATTACCGGGCAATACGTGCCAAATGTGAGGAAAGAGCGAATGAACAATTAGCTCATGCACATTGGAAAATGTATTGCGGATGTATAGAGCAAACGAAAAGCATCCTCAAACGAAACAAAAATAACACATACTTCGAATAAAGAAGCTAAAACTCACTTGGACGCAGTCACTTTGTCGTGATAACGCGGTTCCGGATTGTCATCATTTCCGTTAACATCGTATGAGGCAAATGGATCCTGCGACCACATATGGAACAGTATTGAACGATGCCGACAGAGCGGAAATCAGAGGGACGACGAAAAGACGACAGATGGTTGAGAGAGATGTAAGTATGTGTGAAAAGCTGAAACAACGATGTGTCGCGACGAGCAATCATTAAACACTAATCACTAGGTAATTCATACATTATGCACGATTGAGAAAGTTGCTTCAGCTCTATTGTACCACAAGCAGAGACGGGGAGCGGACAGATGAGCACAACTGTTCAGACGCGGAGCAGCAAAGATAATTGAGGTTTGGAGACGATGATCCAAAACGGTATTGCTTTCGACGCATTAACTAGCGTAAGATCGTAAACACACACTTACAGTTAACACCTTCAATCACCTAGATGAAGTTCATCAACTACATTCAACGCAAATTTGATGAATTTATACAAATAGTACCTTCATGTAGCCCAGTCATCATAAGGATCGTATAACGTGCTTGAATGAATTATGAGCGACATACTCTGATCGAACGTAAATTACGTAAAGGAAAAATACCATAATCCGATCAGAAAGAACAAAGAAAACTAAGGGAAAGCATTAATAATAATAATAATAAACATCATCACGGAGATGGTATATTTTTTAGGGCAACCGGCAGATGAAGAGTTTACATAAAATATAATCTCAATTGAATTTATGCTTTGCATCACAGTTTCGGAAACAGAGCATTAAACAACTGATACTAGATGCGTCCAAAATCAAAGACAAATTTGTCACACATATGAATGTGCAAGGAGAGACAATCAATGGCTATTCAAAAACATGGAACAGTAATCCCTTGATCTCATCTTTAATTTCAAGAGTCATTACTTCATACATTCCACAAAATAACAAGGTATACTCAACGCACTGAATGTGACTTACATGTGGCTTCGTGATAAAGAGATGTTTAGGGATCTTTGATAAACCTTCGCATTCATTGCACACTGATCCTTCAAAATGCCCTTCCAACAGTATTACTCTTTCCAAATTCGACT